TTTTGAAACTGCAATGTATACAGAGTTCACTGCGGCATACTCAAGTCTATATTAAAGGGTCTTTGCTCCATCCTTACCATGTACCAAAACATAAGGTGGTGTCTTCGAGAATGATCTAATAATCTCGTTTGTCATTTATCAAAGCCGAATTCTATAAAAAGCTCTGATGAAACTAAGTGAGCGGTATAATTTTTTCTCAGACTATACATACGTTAACATCCTCTCAATTACATTTAAGTCGTTAGGAGAGAAAATTAAAATATGATGGAACCAGATTTTCAGGGTAAACTGACTCCTTTCTCTGGTAGTTGTGTTGTGAATGTTGACGACTTTGCAGGTCGAAAACGACAGAGTTCGGTAATACTGTTTGAATATTGAGTTAAAAAAAATTGGGTAACGCAGAACTTGCTGGTAGTTTCCCTGTTGTTAATAATTATCAGTCATTCGATAAATGTATAATTGCTTTAGAGAGTATGTCTAATCAATTTCCGAAATGTTCTGTAATCCTCCGATGCAGACGTTGCAGCGTAATGCCTAATAGGCCATAGTTTGGTCTAATACTCGATGTTTGCCTTATGCATGTAGACGACGACAGAAAAGTCTCTACTGGTTCTTTCAATTTGTAGGAATTTCCGATAGACATAAATGCATCTCAAGGTTTATTTGAACTTATCTTCTAGGTTTTTTTAGGTAAGTGCTACTTGAGCTATATTTTGATACAATGTCTGGTGAATTTAGTTATCCAACATGTAACTTTGTTTAACTTCTCTCGGCGCTGGGTGCGGTATGTATAAGGTCTGTTATGGTATTCCGGCGGACGTTGTGTTAAAACCGGCCGCAAATTTTTTTCGGTAGCGCCCTCCGACATTTATTATAATTTTCTATAACCACCATATACTTATGGCATCTAACATTTTGCTTTTAAGAAAACATAGTCACGTATTCCTGAAATGTCTCAGCTACGTGATTTTTCTCTATTATTGGAAATGAAGGCTGACAAGTATTTAATTTTTTATTTTAATTGTGAAGAAAATGATTACTTTTAAAAGAAAATATTGCAGATTTTCAAAAACTTAATGAGTTTTATCATATGTGCCTTGGCCTTTGTAACCACCGACATATCCTGCAGCGGCCTTTGCATCAACTACATCTTCGCGACCAGCAATCCCTTTGCCTTTTCCGGTTTCCATATCAAATCTCTCCTTGTGTGCACCAGTGTAACCCTTGACATCAGTAAGTCTGTTAGTGGCATCGTCTTTGCTAGTTGTCGTCACACCATGTCCAGCAGGGTTACCGGCTGCTATTTTGTCTTTCAACTCTTTCACGGCGTCTTCTTTACTAATACTTTTTGCTTCCATGTACGCGTCTGATAAAGCACCTTCAATAAACGCGACGAAGCCTCCATAGTCAACATCTTTTTTGGCGTTTCCGAGATGTTTTCGAAACTGTATATCAACACGGTTGGCGTCCATTCCTTTGCAATATATTTTGCAGTCGGTGCATATCTTTTTGAGAGTTTTGTCTGTTGCGG